TTCTGCAAATTACCAAAAGGTTCTATCGGATGTTTAACGGTTTACGGATGGAAAGACCAATTCCGCAAGAAACGTTTGAAATAAGGATACAAATGCCAATTTTAAAACGATAGAGACCATTTTAGCAAAGAGTGTAAATGTTGGGGACCATTTCTACTAATTATCCTTGTAAATATTATCTCCTTAAAAAGCACAACTTTGTAAATATTATATTCTCATTGAAAATATACTCCTGGAAACTTAATGTTTTATAAATAATAATTTATTGTTGCTCCTAAAGTAACACACTATTATTTATGTTTTAGTTATATTATAATAATATTTGATTGCTCATAAAAGACATGAATTAAAATTTTAAATATTTCAAAAAAATATTGATATATTACTCTTGAAGAAGTAATAATAAAAGACAACGTGCTCTCGAAATAGCACATGTTTTGAAAAATATATCAGTTTGAATTCATGTTTATCGCTAAAGGAAAATATATAACTCGTGTCATATTGACATTGGTTAGTGTGTCTACTTGATTGGTTATTATATGACTATATAATTTTTAATCATATTTTTCGAAATTAAAAATTGAATTATATCTTATATTAAACTAGAAATTCAATTTGATTTTTCGACATGATCAATTGGACCATTACTGGATTAATAATGATATGAAATTAAAAATTCAAATGGATATTTAACGAAGAACTATAAAAAATTTTAATTCAATGATTTCCTATGTGTTATTTATTCTCTTGATCGAAAATTGATTATTAAACATCATCAGCTAAAATAGGGACTGCATTTCATATATTTCTGAAAATTAATTAAGGTGATAAATGGGGTCCCATCATCCTCGACGTTACCCATCTAGATATTATTCGTATTTGATAGATTTGATACATATACTAGATGATTGCATGGTATTTACAACTTGAAGCTTGAAAAATTATTGTTCAAATTTTAAATTAGTTGCATAATTTTTAAATTATACAATCAAAAAGATGTGTCTTGTCAACGATAGTAACCATAAATCTCAATATTTTAATAAGTGTTAGTTGAAATGTCGATGACTGCTTTAACAATATTACTTGTCAAACACCTTCTATTAATTTAATTGAGAACAAAGTATTTCCCATTTCTGTTTATGGAGTGCATCATGTTAATGTCAAGTTCTCTCTATTATAATTGACTTATGGTAAAAGCCTGATTTCTTCATCTAATTATTTTGATAGTACAATATATATGTACAATTAATCAACCACATTGCACTATGATGAAAAGTAAAGTATGCTGATAATAAATGCTTGGTTTGAACCGTTATCCTAAATGGGTAATATTCTATAACGCTGTAAAATTAATTGTCAATTTAATTAAACAATTCTCTTGACATTAGGAGAGATATTAAGAAACTATAAGTAATGTAGAAATACATCATTATCTAAATTCTCATAAAAAAATAATTCAAATCAGAAGTTCAAAGGATAATTTATATAGACGTATTTAGTGACCAAAAAGATCATCAACATCTCACACACCAGTTTTAAATGCTCCAACACATATTGATGTCCTAAGAGGACAATTTGTTAGCATTATATTTGATATATCTATGACACTCTTGAAGACTGATGATATTCGATTCTAATATAAAAATCTCCAAACGAAAAATTGAGCAATTAACAAAGATGGTCTCACTAAAAATGCATATACTCTTGATGAGTATTTAGATATAACACATTATAAAACCTCGGACGAGGTTCATGTAACTGATATATTGAAAATTGTGATATCTCAATATATTATGTCATTATTTAAAAGAATAATTTTGTAAAAGAAAAAAATTGTCAACACTTTTGAACAAATTGTACTGCATCATATAGCGAGGAATCAAAATAAATGCATTTTAATATATCGATTGAAGTAACGATTGATCAAATAAAATGGACGCAATTCTATACTGAATTTATTTGAGAAATTTGAATCATCTGGACCTGCAGTCCGAAAACCAAAAGGTACATACTTATGTGAAAAGAAATGAAAAAAATGACGTCATAATATATAATGCACAACTCTCAATATAGTGAATTTCACAAATATTGTGGTGGATAAAATCACTAGTTCATATCACGTTATCTTGACGATGCATAAAATTTGATATATGTTATAGTCAATTTATCTGTCATGACTAGTAATGTTATCTTTAAAGAATTTAATATGTTTTAAGTATAATTCAAGTGATATTATCATGTTGAAAGTAAATATGCGTTGTACTCTTTTTTTCTTGACAGGTTTTATTTCATGGATTTTTATGACAAGGTTTTTTGTGAGACAACTTTTGTAGCTGTACTCTTTCCTTTGATCAAGTTTTGCTCTATTGGATTTTTTTTGACAAAGTTTTAATGAGGCAAAATTTTATTACTCCAAATTATTTATACTCATTTTCATTTGTTAGTATTTTTGTCCCATCGAGATTTGTTAAATAATGTTTTAATAAGATAATTATTGCATAAATAGTCATTCAATGGGGGAATGTTGTAAATATAATAGTATGTATGGATAATTTTTCTACATTTGCAGTCCTAATCGTTATGACTGATGTATTCCTTATAGCCTTAATTTTTTCCTATAAATATGGAATTTTGGTTTTTAATAAAACATAAAAGTTTATTAATCATGCTACATGTACATAATCATTTACACAATCTTTTACACCCCCTCACATGGAGGAGGTTCCACAAACAATAAAATATTCGCGCACACTATTCATGTAAGACAGGTGTACGTACACCTGGTGTACAAATAGTTTTATCC